GTGTGTGTGTGTGTGTGTGTGTGTGTGTGTGTTTGTGCTGATAAGCCCGAGTGGTCTGTTGACTGAACGTTGTATTTGTTCAAATAATTGTTATGGGCAGGTTACAATATAAAAATATTTGTCTCATAATCATGTCTTGTGATTATTTGACAGGAGTTTTACTTTTAAACTGCAAATGTATTTAATTTAGTTTTGTTAGTTATGATAGTTTAGTTACGCTGTAAATACAATAAAAAATAAACCAATATTTGGATTAGAATAATTATATTTTGATCCATACGTTAGTAATGTGTGACTGGGCCTCGTGTCACTTTATGATCAACAAATTTGGCCCCGAGGTCAAAAAGGTTAAGAACCCCTGTTTTAGAGAACCATTTTTGGGCAGGTGTAAGAAAATTTTACACTCTTAACAAGCATTGTCCTCACAGATGAGTGTGTTTCTATGACATGGAACATTCTAACTCCAAGCAGACCCAAGATATTAGTAATCATGACACTTTACCTACTTTTATTTTCATTCCCTACAGTAGTACTATGAAATTTTCAAATTTGAGTTGTTTTAAGAGCACAGCAGTCTTCTTTGCCAATAACTCTTAGCCAATAACTTGACAATCCAATTGGAACTAATTAATATTCATCCAAAGAGCTGTCTGCAAGTGAGATTGTTATGATTTAGGCCATTTGTTCTGATTATTTTACATAACTGTTCAGTTGCAGGATGGTGATTTGCTGGCCCAGCTGTGATGTAACCTGTCTGCTATTGACTGACTCCTCCTGGTGGACCTCCTCTACATCTTGGTTGGATCATTCAACTCCTGCTCCTCCGAACACAAAACACAATCCTCTAATTAAGACCAACGCCCGGTCCCAATACTCACACTACCCTACACCCCTCTATGAAGTGTGTACTCAGTTCAAGTGAACATAAGGGTTTGAGTGTGCAGGTTACATGTGTGCAAAAGTTTGAGAATTGGGACAGTACAGGTTACGTCATCAACTTGTGCTACTGCGTAGTGAATGAGACATCCAAAATGGCAGGAATGGTCRTTGTTTTGGCATTTGTACTGCTAAAAACGAATGTTGTACAACTACAACAAACACTCATTTTTAGGAATTGTTTTCTTGGCGATTGGCAGACAAATTTAAGCGTATTACCGCCAATAGCCTGGAAGGTGCTCAGTGGACATTGCCATATTTCTGCCTTTTAATTCAAAATGTCACATACAGCAATGAATTGTGGGATAATTCACTTCGCTGAAGTTAATTTGGATGTGAGCTTAGCAGATGTGTGGATCAAGGGCAGGGTGAAAGACCACTCTGGAGAATTGGAACACATTATGTACCCAAACCCTTCAGCGGGAACRTGCATTTGAAGAACACAAGGGTGGAAGTGCGAGTATTGGGACCTGGCTCAGCTCTCTTGCCATTTAGGGTGAATTTGCAGCCATTTTGCTGGGTGTTGTCTTGTGGGTGAAATGTCTGGCTTTGGCCTTCTGACAGGTCAAGTTCAGTTTGTGTTCAAGGGTTTGGTTTTTGAGGTTTGTTGTAAAACTGATTTTTTTAAGCTGTTGAAGGCTGTTTTACAGGAAGACTCTTCATTAGGGTTTGGATTTTGTGGCTAAAATTGCCAATTTCTTTGTTAGAAGGGGGTTATAATGTTTGATTTTGACCCAGTTTACATTTGTGAATGTAGGTAGTGTAATTTTGTTTTCCTCAATACTTGTACAGCACAACTTCAGCTGCATGACTTGGCTTTTATTTTGTTCAATTCCATTCATTAATTTTGAAATTGACTAAAATAAACCACTTTTCATTTAAAAACCTATCTCCGTCTGGTTTTAATGTTAACTCCCCTTTTCCTGGCTGAGCCGRGTTGTAAATAAAGGATATTATTGTTCATAACTTTGACACAGAAAACTAAAAGAGCACCGGAGCACCACGTCCTGCCATTGAGGACATCTGCAAAAAGTGGTGTCTGAAAAGGGCTGGGAAAATCATCAAAGACTCCAGTCACCCAGCTCACAGACTRTTCATCCTCCTGCCCTCAAGGAGGCGCTRCAGGAGCCTCCGGACTAAGACCACCAGGTACCGGAAAAGCTTCTTTCCTACAGCTGTTACACTCCTGAACTCTACCTCCTGACATCTGCACAATATCCATAACCCATGGACCTAACAACACTACCTGCWCTGTTTTGCTCAACACTGTATAACTAATCTACTCTTGTTAATAAGTACATAGTCATTTTATATGCCACCATATTTAGAACATGATCATAAGATGTAAATTCATATTTCTGTAAGTTAAAGTCTGTCAATTCATATCCTGTACATTCATAACCTGTGTATAATTATACTTACAGCTATTACATATTAAAATAATTACTGTGCATTTGTAATACAATATGCTGTATACTTTTATATTTCATGCTAAGCACTTCTGGATGGATGCAAACTGCATTTCATTGTCTTGTACTTGCAACATGTGCAATAACAATAAAGTTGAATTCTATTATGTTATATTCTAAAAGAAAAAAATGCTAAAGGTAAAGAGCAGCAACTGAAAATAAAAATAAATTARTAAACAAATCAGCTGAGATTTACAACCCATACAGGTTGTTGAAGGGAGCCACGGAGCAACAAGAAGTCAACATGAACATGGATGTTGACAGGAACGTGGAAAAGGTGCAGTCGTGTAAGAGGCTTCAACAGTTGGCSGGGGTGCAGTGTTGTCTGCGGCGTGAGCTGTGTGATCTGACAACACTGCAGCAAAGCTGACGGCTGAAAGAGGCATGGAGCTGAGATGAAGCCACCCATAAAAGCCTTCCAAACACCGAGGTCTTATGGGGGCTTGCTCACAGGCTAAATGAGCCTGCATGCACACCATGCAATGAGCATAACAAGAGAAGGCCTTGGAGACTGAAAAGAGGACCTGAGGATATTAGTAAAGCAAACGAGCTGCCCTTCCACGCTTGGGAAAGCAATATTCAACTGACACAGAGAGGAGTGCAAATCTCCGACCTCGGCAATAACAAGGCAGCTTCAGCCATGTGCTGTTTAACTCATACGCACAATCCCATTTATTCAAGCATCTATTATGTGACTGATTTGGCTGAATTTTACTGTTGTCTGCATGAAACCAAAGGCTGAAAGACACATTTTCAAGTTAATGAAGGTGCAGTAAACCCAATTGCCACTGTGTGCATAAACGTGCATCCTCAGCTTCACAAGGACAGTTAACGCTCCTGRTGTGCATATATTCTTTTTTTTCTGATGATTGCATCGTAATGCAAATGTAAGAGTCGGCAATTCTCCAGTGGCATCATTTGCGAGATGTCGCCGCTCAACRACGAAGAGCGTTTACATTTCTCTTTCAATCTTTTCTCTTTGTGTCCTGAAACTGATCACCCTTAAAGACTTTAGGAACTTTTTTAGAGTCTGTGGAGAATTTAGGGAATTAATATTCAGCGCTGAATTTAATCACTCATAAAAAAAACTCGAGCGGTGTTATAAAATTGACGCCAAACGAAGCGCCTCGTGGAAACACAGAACACATGTACCCACACCAAACGGCCACGTGTGTTTGTGTCTTGTTAATCCRCCTCAGGTTGATCAGCATTCTTCCCGCCCCTCCAGTCTGCAGCATCTCCTGCCCAAGCCTCCCACCATGAGTAACGTGGCAAATTTGCAAGAATACATTATTAATTTCTCGTCAGGAAAGGCAGCTGCCTCACTTGACAAGTGCTTCTCAGATTTCTTCTTTTTTTTAGCTTTCATTTCCCGCAGTGCTCCTGAGATACAGAATCTCCCTCTSTGCTCTCAGTCAACAAAATCAGACCTTTGGAAGGGGAATTCTGTGAGATGGTTATGAACAAATAATGCCTTCCCTGTTGTATATAGATTTTTTAACTATTTTTTGTCTGGACTAGAGTTTAATACTGAAAAGATTGACAAGCCACATCTAATTCAAGCAGATTTCTGCCATCTTAAAATATTTTCAATCTAAAATATGTCATTGGAGTTCATGCAAATGTTTTTTAAAAACCTTTATACGTCTGTCAATATCACTTAACAAATAGCATGGTAAAGCTGAACGATCCTTTTAGGAGCCTGTCTATAATAGATTTGAAATACCTTGTTCTTAGTAATTGTGGGTTTACGTTGAATTTATATTTGCTTCATTTACCTAAAAGATGACTGCAAGTTAATAAAACACATGACAATTCATTATTTTAAAAAGCCATAATTAGCCAAAAGGATATTCTTCATGATGTTTAAAAAGCAAGAAAATGCATGAATATAAATTCAACAATAACAGACAATTTATAAAGACAAAAAATTGGATTAAACAAATCCTGGCACATTAAGAATGAAAAATAAATATTGTGCATTTTCTTGTATTTTATTGCTTTTCATTATGGCCAGGGGACTACAAAGGGGAAAAAACAACCTTTTGAACAATTCTGGGGTTTTAACTTGAATTGTCATGTTTTTTTTACAATGCAATATCCTCTTTTAAATAAATAAACAAAACAAATTAAACTCATACTTTTTTATGTCTAGGGAACAATCGCTTTCAACCTAAGTTCAACAAAATCTAGGAAATACTCAGAGGTCCTCATTACAGGTCAAACTAAAGTTACAGTGGGGTACGTAAAGTTTGGGCAGCCTTGTTAATTTTCCTGATTTACCTTCATAAATCATTGATTGGATTWAAAAAAYCWGTTAAATATATCATCTAGGGCAGTTGTTCCCAAAATTGGGGTCGGGACCCGCAGTGGGGTCCTAAAACATCAAGGTGGGGTCCTGGAAATATTTTCTGAATTAATTACACTAAAAAATTACAACTAACAACATGTTTTGCCTTTGCTGTTACAAAATAATAAGATTAGTGTAATTAAAATGGACAAAAATAACGTCATAAATAATGTGACTATGACTTTGTTTGTTTGACGTGAAAACAATGTTAATGAACTGACAACAGCTGAGGGCACAGGTCTCTGCTGCTTTTATTTTGTGGGTCAAAAGCTGAAAAGTTTGGGAACCACTGATCTAGGGGACAAACACAGTGATATTTGAGAAGTGAAATGAAGTTTAAATGATTTACTGAAAGTTTGTAATAATTGGTTAAACATAATTAGGCAGGTGTATAAATTTGGGCACTGTTGTCATTTTATTGATTTTAAAACCTTATTGGAACTTAAATTTGGTTTGGTAAGTTCAGACTTGGCAGATTCTTGTCTTTCTAGAAGAGGAAGCTCAATTAAGTCTACATAATAAAATGTGTCGGTTTAAAGATTCCACCCTCCGTTCCTTTTTTTAGTTTATATTTATTCATTTCATTAAAAAAAACATTACATAAAACAAAACAATACAAAAAATAAAAATAAAATGAAAGGCAGTGAAGAAGAAAAATATCTTGATATCTGCTCCTGTTTAAAAAAAATATTAATTTCAAACAATAAACCAAATAATAAAACAAAACAAAAAATTCAACTCCTCAAACAGTGACTCATACAAATTAAACTATTTCATATTTCTTTAACAAATTTGCTTTGATCATTTTTTTAAATTAATTAATTGATCCAATGATTTAAATCATTTTCCAGATTATTTACAGAAGTCTTTACAACGGCTATCTCACTTGGACTGCTGAAAAGACCTGTTATTTCCCCACTGTGGGATCAATAAAAAAAAATTTATCTTACTTTTCCCCTCCTTTTGCACCAAATTAATCTGAGGAGTCGATCAGCCCTGCTGTTTAACTCAAAACTTACTTCATAAGGAAGATTATCAAATGGCTTCGCCAAAATCCGGTCCACAACATTCAAACTGTCTGCCATTATGTGCAACTACTTAGCTGGGACTGGCGCGAGCCTAGAGTGAAGTGTGTCTACCTGTGAGTGCTTTGTGACGGTGAAGGGGCTCAGCAGCCGCCGCTGGACAGAAACTGCAATAGAAGTCAGAAAGAGGGATAGAAGTCCGTCTCCAAACAGAAGCAGCTACAAAACAACCTCCAGAATKATTTGTCACTAGTTGTTTTTAACAAATAAAATGCAGCTAAAATGATTAATAAAGTCTCCGGTTCAACTCAGAACAGAAACGAAACTGAAAAATGCTTTCATGGAATGTTTACACCACAAGATCGCTGATTTGCTCATTTCCCTGTCAATCAAAATGATACTCAGCCTCCGACAGATCATCCAATCATCATGCAGAAGCTGAGTGTCCGGGCCAGCCGGGGCCAGCCCACTGCCCCATAGACCCCCAGAAACGCTAGCATCCGATGGGCGGGACAAAGCCCAGCATTTATCCAATGACTTGTCTCATTTCGCTGCGGTCTTTGCATCGCTAACGAGCTCTGTGGAAGCTCAGCGTCCGACTGTTTAAAGCACCGTGAAGCTGTGGGGATGAGGGAGAGGAAAGTTGTGTCATTACCAGTGATAAGAAACTGATTCTGAACAAAAGTTGAGCGCGTTGTAGCAAATATTTTGTCAATGACATGTACTCACAACAGTATATATTTGATCTTTTTATTTTATTTTATTTTATTTATTTTTTTTACATTTTAGAGGAAGCTGAGCTTCCCTTGCAGTCTCAGAGCAATCGCTTCTGAAGTTCAGTGACCCTTGACCTCCAGACACAGGTGACTCCAATTATGAGAAAGGGTATTTAAGGGGGGGCAATTGTAGGTTTTTCTCCTCTTTGCATCTTCTCTGAAGAGTCGCAGCATGGGAGTCTCAAAACAACT